GCAGGTGCCTGTAGTCCCAGCTACTCGGGAGGCTGAGGCAGGAGAATGGCGTGAACCCAGGAGGCGGAGCTTGCAGTGAGCCGAGATGGCGCCACTGCCCTCCAGCCTGGGTGACAGAGGAGACTCCATCTCAAAAAAAAAAAGAAAAAGAAAGAAAAGAAACACTCTAAGGCTTTTAAAACATACTAAAATATTACCTACAAAAAATATATTTAACAAACTGCACTCCCTCAAGTAGCATTTGAGGACACGTGTTTTCACAGCCCCCTTGCCAAACTGGGTACAGTAGTCACTTTTAAAAATCTTTAAATAAAGGATAGGGAAAAAAATACCTAATTTGCATTTCTCTGTGAGGCTGAGAATATTTGTTTGCTGCTTATCTGTATTTCTCTTTAGGAAGATTATGTTCCTCCCCTTTGTCCATTTCCCTATTGAGATTTTATTTTAATGTTACCCCTTGATCTATGTGACTTCTTTGGGGTTTTAATTCTTTGCCCTCTTTGTTATTCGGTTTCCTCATAGCTTGTCTTTTAATTTTGTTTCTGATTTATGATATTCAGATAAAAAACAACGCTGTGTCAAAGTTGTTAATTTTTGCCTTCCACTGCTTTTATTTGCTCACAAGGTCCTTACAATTGCTGACATAAATAAATACGTAATTTTATTTATTATTTTCCTTAGGCTTTATTTGTTTATTACATTAACTTTTGAAATCATTAGTATACTTTTGGTATAGAAAGAGGGGTCAACATACACTTCTGATACTATTTACCTGATAGTCAATCATTAATTGAAAAATCGTTCCCTCATTTTCCTCTGGTTTATGAATCAATCCTTGTTCTATACTAAGTCTCACAATATACCACAATCTGTTTTCACTAATTAGCCTGTGGATGGTCTGTGGATTTATATTTTGAGGCTGGCTGTAGTAACTCACACCTGTAATCCCAACATTTTAGGAAGCCAAGGCAGCAGGATCACTTGAGGCCAGGAGTTGGGGACCAGCCTGGACAACCTAGTGAGGCCCCATCTCTACAAAACAAATAAAAAATAAAAAAATACAGAAATTCTCTGTGCATGGTGGTAAGTGCCTGTAGTCCCAGCTACTCAGGAGGCTGTGTAGGGAGAATGGCCTGAGCTCAGGAGATTGAGGTTGCAGTGATCCAAGATCACACCACTGTACTCCAACCTGAGTGACAGAGCAAGCCTTCCTCTCAGAAAAATAAATATATACATACACACACACACATACATATAGATAGATAGATACACATTACATTTTGAATTTAGGAAAATCTATTTTCTCTATTTCTTGTTCTTTAAAAATACGGCCAGGCGTGGTGGCTCACGCCTGTAATCCCAGCACTTTGGGAGGCCGAGGCGGGTGGATCATAAGGTCAGGAGATCGAGACCATCTTGGCTAACATGGTGAAACCCCATCTCTACTAAAAATACAAAAATTAGCTGGGCATGGTGGGAGGCTGAGGCAGGAGAATGACTTGAACTCAGGAGGTGGAGTTTGCAGTGAGCCGAGATCCTGCCACTGCACTCTGGCCAGGTTACAGAGGGAGACTCCGTCTCTTAAAAAAAAAAAAAAAAAATCCTTCCATCAAGTTTTTTTTTTTTTTTTTTTAATTAAATTGCTTTATAATTTCTAAGTACTGGTACCACAAATGTTTCTTGAAGAACTGGAATAACAAAATTACAAAGAAACAAACATGTCCCCCACTTTCAACACCTCCCTTTTCTGGGATCATTATTGTCTTTTTTTTTTTTTTTCGAGCATGTACTTTCAGGATTTCTATCACAAATAGTTTGGTAATTGTGCACCTATTGTTCCTTGAGAAGAAAACAGAAATGTGTCAGAGCATGGTCTATTTTCACAACATAGAAAACTATTTGATGCAGTTTATTATAGGATTACAATTTTTTTTTAAATCCAAGAAATATAATTTTAATTTCTTTCACATTTAAATGTCTAATCTTTTGAGACATATAAAAATAAACTATTGAAACAGCTAGGGTCACACACAAGCCTTTACACTGCCGCTCAGATCTATTAAATGGCATCTTATCTAACTTGAAACAAAATCCAGTAACTACTATGACATAAAGATACTCCTTGTAGTATGTCAGTCACTCTGAAGTATTTTGCTTTTTAAAATTTCCTAATGATGAAGTATTTTTCTTACTCCAAACACATTATGAAGCACTATGCCATTTAATTTTTAAATTCATTTCTGTATTTATTCAACAGTATCTTCGTGATAGGAGGTGCTCAGTAAACATTTGTTTAATAGGAGAATGACTGAAACATACTACTTAAATAGAGTGCTGTACAAAATGGCACATTATTAATAACTACGTTGGAATTTTTAGAAGTGGCTGATGCAGGAACAAATGTAAGCCTTTTATTCACAGCAAAGCTTGAGAGATGAATAGCAGGCACATGTGATGTGTGATTTATTCATACACACTAGTAGGAGATTTATAGGCATCTATTAACGTACTCGAGTTCCAATTTTGTCTTAGGCTAGTCTTTTGTCATGATTAGCTATGTTGTGAGTCTATGTTAAATAACAGGCTGTCTGTACTGAAATATGCAAGAAATATGAAGACAGAAGGCCAAAATTATTAAATATGTACATCATTTCATTTAAACTATAGATATATATCTGCTTATGTGTGTTACAAAAATTAGAGATGTACATGCATACGCATAAAAGCAAAGGATTTTTCTTTTATGGACATGAGGTTCATTGTTATGGACTGAATTTATCTACAAAAATTAAAATCCCTACATGAAGTAAACTCCAGTTCCTCAGAATGTGATCATATTTGGAGAAAGGTCTTTACAGAAGTAATGAAGTTAAAATAAGGTCATGAGGATGTGCTCCAATCTAATATGGCTGATGTCCTTAGAGGAAATTTGGAACACACACACCTACAGAGGAAACATGATGAGAAGACACATCTCCTCGACCATCTACAGGCCAAGGAGAGACGCCTGAAAAGGAATCAACTCTGAACACAAACACCTACAGAGGAAACATGATAAGATACATCTCCTTGACCGTCTATAAGCCAAGGAGAGAGGACTCAAAAGGAATCAACTCTGCTGACACCTTTATGTTGGACTTCTGACCTCCGGGACTGTGAGAAAATAAATTTCCATAGTGAAGCCACCCAGTCTGTAGCACAATGTTACAGCAGTCCTAGCAAATTAACACACTCATGAAGTAATGAAATATACAGCATGGTCAAACGACGGAAAAGAAGAATTACTTTGTTCTCCCGATAGTCTCAGTTTTGGAAAAGATGAATCATCTCAGCCTGCATACTGTGGTGGGACCTGATCCAATTCTTCCTCCGGGGAAAACACCATCAAAGAAAACTACTGCTTTAGCCAATGCTTCTGATTCATCTCTTCTTCAAATGATTACAAATTCAAACATAATTGATTGCATTGCCCACTTCCACATGATAATCTCATTAGATTGACCAAGGTAACTGTATCATGGTTGAGGATGTAAAAGGGCTTGCATGCACATCACACTTTGAAGGAGTAGCGCATTCCTGGATTTTCCCTTAAGGTCTTAATATCACTTGTGTGCTTCGTGTCCATACGTGCACAGTCACAAAAAAATATGAGAGAGGAGGACTGTGGAGAGAAACAATCCCCACTCCCCTTCTTCCCCAACCCAGGTTTGCAGAGCATAGGAATAGGGTGCAAATTTTGCAACTCGGGTAAATGCAGTGGCACTGCCAAAGTCATATATGAACACCACATGTCAGGGGTGAGGAAAGGTCACAGTTCTATTTGTCCTGACACAGGACATACGGTAACTTTTACAGAGCCCTCCTACCATATCATGTATCTGTTCTTCCAAACCTGTGCCATTGCTCAGTGTGGCAATACATCATCCCTGTGGACTAAACCTGGCACTTGGATCCAGGCAGCTTCTGCCGGCATGGCATGTTCTAAGTTTGTAACTATACGATACATTTCTCTACATCATCTTAGTGAAACAACATGGGAATCGAGTTTTATTATAACAGCAATAGAAAAAAGTCATAATTTTCCATGCCTCATGATTTCAAATAATTAATTTAATGACTGTGTCATATGAGAAAAGCAAATAAAGAGAAGAAAAGGGGTGTGGATATCTATGATCACCGATGCATATCCAATTGCCAAGAAAAACAAATTACCAGGGTAATACTTGAAGTGAAAACGGTAAGAGATATTTTTCAGATGTTAATTTGATTCTTCTATGGAGTCTTAAAGCTGCAGTGTCTATAAGTGCACTCTTTATCCCCCTTTGTTTTTACTTTTAGCAGTTACATAACTTATGTCTCTAAAAACCAATTAAACACCTTCCTGATCTCTACTGGGAGTTTTCCCCAAGTAGTTCTCTACTTAGACTATAACAGGACTGCTATTTCATTTACAACTTCTTGCTGGAGAGTGTTTCATCAGAGGTGTTAAGAGAAAGTATTGAAATTAATAAAGGAGGGCAGAAACAAAATAAAATGCAGTTTTCTCTGGACACAGTTAAAGTCTCTGGGGTTTGTTCACAAATAAACACGGAGATTCTAGATCTTAGATGAGCAGTTTGCTTCTCCTGCCACAGTCAGCAGGTTCTCAAGAACCGATTATTTCTGAGTACTAGGATATATGCCTAAGTTCCACATCATAAATATACTCTGCTAAAGTGTGTAAATAATTATTTCCATTAACTTTGCAGATCTAAAGGTAGATCTTCGTTTGCTTAGTCAGGTAAAACTTAAACCATGACTACTTTGTTTCCGTCTTGTCTTCTTCAACTGTTAAAGAGACAGCAGCCTTGCCCTTTCCAAATTAAAACTCCCAATTCTGCTATTCAAACGGTGGGACTGTGTGTATCCCGGACATGACACATTACAAATGCTGCCAGCACCCTCCACCCCCAGGCCTTACAGAGGGCCTGCCCTTTCCACCAGTGTCCTCAGTGGCTTACCGACAGTGTTTATGGGATCCAGTCAGGGTTTCGATCACAAAGCACTCGCCATCGTTGAGACAGTATGCGAGGTCCTTGTCTCGGCAGGGTTTGAAATGCTCGGATCGCTCTGTGGAATATGTCGTCGTATCTGTCAGGGAAAGCACAGAGGGAAATGCTGTCAGCAGTACATTCTGACACCAACAACTCCTGCCACTGGCCCTGGATCTCTGTACCTTCTCATGGGCTCTGACCTCTGGGACTCTAGACAGACAGCTCCAACCCTCCATGGTACTGACCAAATGCAGCTGGCTGTAACCACTGTATTCAATTGTCTTATTTCTCCACTAAATTTTAACTATTGGAGTCACTCTGGAGAAGCCCCATTTGAGGACACGTAAACACTAAAAGCTCAACGATCCTGAGTCAAACACACCCCAAATCCACCCTCGTTAATTTTAGTTTTAACAAACATGTTGCATGAAGGATTGAAACAACATTCCCTTCCCTTTATTGCTGCCAAATATAATTAAACATCTGATCAATGTATATTGTGACTCTTCTGTGGAATCCAATGTCAGTTTGGGGGATTTTTTTTTAGTTACAGCTATAATTGGCTAATAGCTAAGCCAATTATTCTTTCACTTTCTCCTTTTATTATGTAATTAAAATGCAAATGTTCTAAATCCTGAACCAGATTCTCAAATATGAAGAATGTTTCTGGTAAATATTTAACAGGACCAATTATTGTCATTTTTTAGCATTATCTTAAACATGCATTTTTAAAATCATAATTACATACATTTTCAAATTAAGTTATACATCAATATCTGCATCCCAAATACGAAACTAACCATAAATATGTGCTATCTACAAGATACAGACTCTATTACCACGTGTAGACATTATTCTAATTACAGAGCTTTAAGCAACTAACTATTAGCACCAATTCCACCATAACATTCAACAAAAAATATACTTAAAAAGTCAAAGAAGAAAAAATTATTCAGCGCTTAAGCTTTTAATTTCCTTTACAGATATTTAGATTAATAATAATATTCAACAGCACAGGATATTATACCAGCTTATTAACCGCCCTTGTTTGAATGTGTCTCCTAAATTCCATGTGTTGGAAACTTAATCCTTAAATTTTTATGTTGATGATATTTGAAGATGGGGCCTTTGGGAGGTAATTAGGAATACATAAAGTCATCACGGTGAGGCCCCCATGATGGAACTGTTGGCTGTTTAAGAAGAGAAAGAAGGACTGAGCTGACATTCTCTTGCCCCCATCCATGCGATGCCCTGCACTGCCTCAGGGCTTGCAGAGAGTCCTCATCAGCAAGAATGCCCTCAGCAGATGCAGCCCCTTGACCTTGGACTTCCCAGACTCCAAAACTGCAAGAAATAAATGCATTTTCTTTGTAAATTGCCCAGCTTCAGGTATTCAGTTAAAGCAACAGAAAATGAACTAAGACAGTAAATGAAGGTCACAATGAGCTTCTTCCCTGATTATCGTCACAACTGATGGTGAGTGATCATTTTAAAAGGAAACTCATCCCTATCTCTCCCACATCTAAAAATCCTCATGGGGCTCTCCTGTGGGAATAACTTTAAAATCCATAGTAGGGCAAACCAGGGCATGGGCCATCTATATGTTTATCTGTCTGATGGTCTCTTCTTGCATTCTAAAACTTTATGCAACTTAATTTTCAACTATCATTCTATTTTCTCAAAATACCAAGAACTGTCACACTGCTCCTTCTTCCCAGACCTTCATTCTTTGTTGAGGACACCCAGAAATCCTCAGAATTTAGATGATCTCATCATGTGCCTCCCAGTGCCTCTTATCACTTTCCTCACTGCATTCAAAACTGCAAGTAATCCTTTCTTTGTTTTATCTGTTCTTTTCCTATGTAATGTCCTTGAGGGCCAGCATGGAGGCTTGATAAGAATTGGTGCTCATAAAAACATCTTCAAAATATCTGATCTCTCTAACATCAATAATTAAATGCTAGAAATGAAAGCTGTAATTAAAAACCTCATTACAATTTTACAAAAGTTAATGCATTTTGTACAGCAAAAAGTGAAATATAATTTAACATTTATGTTACCATTTTAGTATACTTTTTGTAATATTGATAAAGATTGCAAAAGCAAGGCCTTCAGATTCACACAGATCCTCACACATATGTTACTCGTATTCCATGAGCACTGAAATAAACCACTATTGGTGTTGCAATGGGAACTTATGTTTTCCACTTCAAAATATCTGCTTGTTAATACTTTGGCACAAAATAAAGGCTCTGCAAAACACACACATTTTCCATCTTGCAGGAGATTCTCTACAGTAAGGATCTGTTATTCAAGACAGTATGTGATAAACAGTCACACAGAATCAATCTCTCTATGGGAAATATTTAAAATTCAAGAGCTCCGAGCAAAAAATTCAATACGAAACCGTGCACAGTTGACTGCTACTCTGGCTGCTGAAGTATATTAACTCATGATCAGTTAGTTAACTTTTCCTTTAATTTCTTATTATCCATTTATTGATATTCACTGATCATGCTTCTAAGAACAGCTTTTCATTAACATAATCTACAGCATAAAAAGTGAGATCCTTATTTTATAATCAGTGGTTTTAACAAGCTACAGACTTCAAGTGCAATACAATGGCAAAGCAATTACAATCAATTAATTTCCATCTGACAACTGCTGTCTCTAGTGGTTACCGCCCCATTCTACCAACCGATTTCTCCATCATGTTATCATCTATCAGCACATTACAGAGGATCAGAGACCCAAGTAAATGACTCTGCAAAAGTCTGGGGTGGGAAAGCTCAGATATCAGGCTTAACATGTACTGAGGCTTTCCGTTTCCACAGCTTAAAGAATCCCCAAATTAATTTAAAATACTCATGCTTAATCTTCACAATGACTTTACTGAATTCAAAGAAAACACCATTATTATAACTTTTAAATGACAATATAATGAACAATAATAAAACATTGGGTATGATCATTCTTTAAGTAAATAACTGCAATTATCAATACATTTGAAACCTTAAAATGTACCTAAGCATTTTACTATATGTTATCTACATAGTATTATTACCTGAAATCACAGAGGCATTGGGTAGGGTAAGTGTAATTCATCATCAGGTGAAATTTTATTCTTGAAAGTCATGCAAAAGATGTGTATGGAAATATAGGCAAATTCTGGACCCTTAATAAAATCAGTAGGTTGCTATGCTAACTCTAAGACCACCTACCTAGATTTTTGTTGAATGAATAATAAGTATACTATGTCTAAGTCACTCTTATTCAGGTTTTCTATTACTTACAGCCAAACAAAGCCTAATAAAGAGATGCTAATAATTTTGGATGATATCTTCCTACATTGGTACATCTGATTAAAGTGCATGTATGTATTCATACATCTATTTAATTTTCAACATATAAGATATACTACAAAACATATAAAATACAACATAAATAAGAATGAGCCAAAAAAAAACCTCTAAGGTGCAATTCTTTATTTTCCTTCTGTGCCCTAAGGTGGCATAGTGTGCTCTAATGTATCCAGCTGAGTGTTTTATTCTGAAGAAGGAACATGGAACATTTGTGAGAAAGAGAACGTGGATAAGATCTAATGCCAAACTATAAAAGTTATGACCCTAAACAACCTTGGTGTATCTCTGTAATCAGATATAAAACTCTCATCTGTGAGCAAATTCAATACTTTCGGAAGCTTGTTTATATTTTTTAAAGCTATGCCACTTTTAAGACAGTCCAATACACTAAGCTGGCTATATACTATAATGGTACTATTTTGGCATGTACTTAATCAAACTTCTGTTTCTAGGAATGTAATTTGGTAAATAATTTGTTATAGAGCTATTGCCTTCAAAACAATTATATGGATGAAGATTCCTGTAAGTAAACAAGAGGGGCCTAATGTTCCTGTGAATTCCAATTTGTATTTCAAGGCTTTCTTTATGTTCCCTTATTCCAGAGTGGGCCCTGCTATCAGACGTCATTCTCTCCACGTTCATCAGCTTCTGAAGCTCCCATATGACTGGACCATGAGCTTGCTTCCATGGAGCAGAGAAGTCTTCACATCTTTAATCCACGGGCTTATGGAAGGCTTGACACAGAGAGGCACAGAATAGGTATTTATCTATATAGTAGTACATAGATAGAAACTTTGGCCAGGCGTGGTGGCTCACACTCATAATCCCAGCACTTTGGGAGGCCAAGGTGGGCGGATCACCTGAGGTCAGGAGTTCCAGACCAGCCTGGCCAACACGGTGAAACCCTGTCTCTACTAAAAATACAAAAAATTAGCCAGGCATGATGGCAGGTACCTGTATTCCCAGCTCCTTCAAGGCTGAGGCAGGAGAATCACTTGAACCCATGAGGTGGAGGTTGCAGTGGGCCGAGACTGCACCATTGCACTCCGGCCCAGGCAACAAGAGGGAAACTCCGTCTTAAAAAAAAAAAAAAAAAAAGAAGAGGACAACTTTTTCTATATAGCCTTTTTCTACTTGTTGGTGTTAAAAAGTGGTATCATAGGCCGGGCACTCTGGCTCACATCTGTATCTCAGAACTATAGGGACCAAGGTAGGAGGATCACTTGAATCCAGGAGTCTGTGACCAGCCAGGACAACATAGGGGGACCCCATCTATACAAATAGCAATAATAATAATAAATTAGTCGAGCATGGTGGCACATGCCTGTGACCCCAGCTACTCAGAAGGCTGAGGTGGGAGGATCACCTGAGCCCAGGAGGTCGAGTTTGCAGTGAACTGGTATTGTGCCACTGCACCCCAGCCTGTTTGAGGCAGGGCTGAGTAAGGCCCTGTCTCAAAACAGAAAAAAAAAAAAAAAAAAAAAAAAAAGGGTTATAGTGAACAAAAACTCTCTTTTAAAAATATCTGGGAAGCGAATTAAGTTAGGATATAAGAAGGGCTCCAAAACAACTTAGGGAAAGAGCATAGAATTTCATTAAAGGAGGGAAAAATCAGCTCAGCAGCATGGAGGACAAAGGAGGAGAAGACAAAGCAAAACAATTGGAAAGGATTTTCCAGAAAAGAGGGACAGGAAGAATAAAGGAGTGTTAGGATTAAGATGAGCAGAGATTGTGC